CTTTTGCAGTATCATACAAACATCTTCTAAAAATTATATGAAATAGCTAACACTAAAAACTTAATTTCTCTTACTTATTTTCAGATCAGATTTCTGAAGAAAGCAATAAATGTTTCCTATTCCTGTGAAGCCCAAGGATTTTTGCAAACATTTAAAACATGAATCTTAATTTTTTTTTTTTTTGTACCGGGGATGGAACTCGGGACCTTGCGCTTATGAGGCAGGCGCTGGAACCACTGAGCTAAATCCCCGGCCCCTAATCTTCATTTTTCTCTTCCCTGTATATCTTCTCTTCTTGTCAACATTTTTTTTTTTTTTTTAGTTTGCACAGCTATAGTTAACTAGGGACCCATTCATACAGTGAAAGCCCAGCTGTGGTTATTGGAACCAAGCTCAGTATGGATTCAATCAAGGATCATTGGTTTATTCCTTTCTCAATCAGCTTTAATCTGAAATAGGCAGAAAGAAGAAATGGGTAATGGGTAAAAGGAAGAGGAAGGAGAATATTCTCGACATTGAACAGGAAAAGTGAAGAAACTCTGAGGTAGACTGATTTCCCGGAATGAGGCTGCCTCTTCATTGGAGAGCCAGCCACTGTATGTGAAAGGAGATGGAGATATTGCATTGATTTTTCCTTTTCTTTTATGTATAAACAAATGAGTGTTTTCTCCACTTCAACTTTTATTTTCTTCCATAGTTTGATATTCTTGATAATGTGTAACCATACACTGATACGTCAACATCCTTAATTCCTGAAGTTGTACAGCATTTCTTAAGGAACATATAAACAGTAGTAAGTGCAAAGAAAAATAGAAAATGAGAATCATATTTGAAAGGGCCTATACCATGCAATAAATCATGCAAATAAAGGCCTCTTTGGTTTGCTGGGATTGTTTAGAATGACACTGCCTTACTGTTAACATTCAATGCAGTAAAATCAGATTTTCCTCCACTCATTTATTTCCAACAATCTTCAAGTCAGAAAATACGTAACTTGGCCAATATTTCAGTTGTATAATTTTCTTTCCTTTAATATTAAATATATTGCTGGATTCTGAACATTGTTTTGGATAGTTAAGATTCCAAAGACTGAGAATATTGTTTGAATTTTCTCTAAAATTAACCAAGATATGTTTTACAACATTTCTCCTGTGGAGAAAGCCAAGTCAAAATGCTGGAGTTCCAAAGTATAGAGGGGGTAAGGTCAGTTAACAGCCTTTGACTTTCTTCCTTATCTTTAAGATCTACTGTTAAAGTAATGAACTCTGTAAAATAAAAAGCAGTTATCATGAAACTGTGTATCATCAGATTCTTTCAAATTTCTTACTACTGAACCTATAAGTTACTGGAGATTACCTAAGAAACATAAGACATCGATGCTCGCTCAGGAAACTTCCCAGTTAACTCAAGGGAGGCAAAAACAAAATTAAGGAATAACTAAACTAGGCCTCAGTGGGGATGTATGGTAAGCATATTCATTAGATGTTCAAAGACCAAGAGTGAAAGGAAAACATTTCAAATGGCTTTATTAGAAAAAGCCTTCTCAGAGCAGGCAGAACTTTTGAGTTATCTTGAAGAAAGTGAAGGATGTAGAGTAGAAGATTGTTTCAGGTTAAGTAACTCCTGAAAGTCTCTTGGACCTTTGATAAATTGTGGCCCCAGAGACAGCAATGGAGAGGCTGCCTGGGGATTTCAATAGTTTAAATCATGGTGGTTGGGCAACAGGACAAAGTGTTTAACTACGTTGAGGAGAGGCCCTGTGTTGAGGAGAGGTGTGTGCTGGTGGCAGGGAAGATAGTGGAGTATGATCTGGAGACCATTAAGAGTGTCTCATGGGACTGGATAAAGAAAATGTGGTTTTTTTATAAAATGGAGTACTACTCAGTCATAAAAAATGAGAAATTAGAGACATTTATAGCTAAGTGGATGCACATTGAGGCAATACTCTTAAGTGAAATAAATAGGACACAGATGTGTAAATACCGAATAGTTTCTCTGGTGTGAGAAACTGAAAGTGTAAATAAGGACTAAATGTATAATAGGTCATGTGAAATAGGAAGAAAAGGGGCCAAGGGGAAGGAAGTGGGAGGGCTAAGGGAAAGGATAGAAGGGAATGGGATTAATATGAGAAAATGGAAAAATAGGAACAAAATCTTTGTAAATAGGGAGGGCTGGAGGGGTTGAAGGGAGGGCTGGGCAAGGGTGAAAAACAAGAACCAAGAGAGACTATGTAAAGGTGCAAATTTCCAATGATGAATGTCATTATATTGTATACCTAAAATGTACCAATGATTAGAATGAATAATCGATAATGTAAAATAGGAATAAAAGGTCCAAAGGGGTAGGGGTAGTGGGAGGCACAGGGAAAAGGAAAGAAGGGAAAGGAAAAAATGATGAGAAATGGAAAAAATGGAAATAAAGTCTTTGTAAATAGGGAAGGGTAGAGGGCGTGAAGGGAGGGCTAGGAATGGGGAAAAAATAAGAACCAAGATGCATTATATAAAGGTACAATTCCCAATGAGAAATGTAATTGTGTTGTATACCTACAATGTACCAATAAAAGAATTTAATACAAAAAAAAAAAAAAAGAGTGTCTCATGGCACATTCTTCCAACTCTGGATTCTCTGCTTCCTAAGTCTTTCTCTGGCCTTGCTTTCAGTAGATGATAACCAATGGAAGAGGATTTTATACTACATTAATCTGTATCATTATGACTAAAACTAGATTGCTTTTGACAGGCAGTAACTATCTTGGGCTCTCAAGATGATAATGTCATTGGTGGATTGTCTTCTTACAGTAAAGAAAAACAACACAGCCTTTCTCTCTCAGCTGGCCAGAGTGCAAGAAGAAAAATGCCTTCCTATGAATGGCAGCAAAGCAGCGATTGCTTTTAAAGTGCCCTGTTTCCACAGGTGCTGATGATTGTCATTCTCAATCTTCCTACTATCTTTGCAGAAGGCCAACATCAGCAATGCCCAGACTGCCAGCCACAGCAGGGGACCGGGACATTTTCAATGACAGGTTGAGTTACATGCTGTTTCCTGAGGAGGCTGTGCCACCCAGTAGCCCACCTCTAGTGGTGATTATCTAGTATCTGCTGCCAGGTGGAGAAACAACCCCCCCCCCCAACTTATATTCTGCAAATACTTCAGGGTAAGTTGATTCAGAGTGCAAATCAGGTGAGACATGTGTAAGACTGTCAGATGGAACTGGCAGCCTCATCTTGTGACTCCTACTTGGTCTTACCATTTAGTGCGCCAAATTATTTCATACATTTACTTATATTTAAAATAGCTCTCTCTCTCTCTCTCTCTCTCTCTCTCTCTCTCTCAATTGCCATTAAACTTTTTCCCACAAAGTCTTATTATAGTGTGGTTTCTTCCTTGCGGTTAAATTGAATTTAATTGCTCAAGATCTTTGGTCACATTTTTGAAGTTTTGTCTTAGCCAGTTCAATGAGGCTTATCTTTTATTGTTAGACACATTCTAATCTCTACAAAGTCAATATAACGAAACTCTAGGCTGCTTTCTGCAGTTTGCCACTCCCCTGCAGAATGAAGGATTACATTCTCTGAGTCAGGGGCGATGCTCATGGTATCAGGAAGCTGTGCAGGACCTAGAACTTCCCACTCAGCTTCCCATAAACCTCCCAGCCTTCCTTGGCAGACTTGAAGTTTCCTTCCAGAGCAAAAGGTCTTGAGGTCTATGTCACCTCATTCTTGCTCAGCGATGAAGATGATATTATTCCAAGAAAGATGGGTAGAGGGAATAAAAAAATTCCTGAGGCTCACAGAGGACAAGGAAAAGTGTTTTACTCCATGAGTCATTTGTGATTGCCATCATGACTTTGAGGCCAAGGTCTTCAGAACAATCCAAAGGGAATCTCGCTAGATGTCCACCTAAGGAAGTCTGTGTGTCACAGCCATGACAGCACAGTGTGAACAGTGGTCACTGGAACCCAGTGCTCTGTCTACACCCAGCAGAGGAGGAAAGAGAGGCAGAGGAAGCTAGGTGCCACCTCACCCTTCAGTTGCAGAGGCAGCTCTGGGCTTGAGAACAGGTCATGGAAATAGCACTGGTCCCCCCTAAATCAGCAAGCTGGAAGGTCGCAGAAGCTGAATGGGGAACCCTCCTCCCACACAGCACCCCACGAACTTGTCCTAGGGAAGCCAGAGCAGGTGCTTTCTTGCTGCCAAGTTGATTCAAACCTTCAGATTAAACTTTCAGATACATTCTGTGGAACCCAGCGTTTCTTTTCTGTCTGTCCAGCCCACGGAGACCAAAACTTTTAACTCAGTATGCAGTATACTGCCACAAGTGAAGTGGCACTTGTCAGGTAATGTGCTGGGTGATTTTGACTCTTTTCTTTCTCTCTCTCTTTCTTTCTTTCTTTCTTTCCTTCCTTCCTTCTTTCTTCTTTCTTTTTTCCTTCCTTCCTTCCTTCCTTCCTTCCTTCCTTCCTTCCTTCCTTCCACCTCGAAACACATACAGTCGCTAAACTTTAAGAGTAGGAATTCCAGTAAGCAGACCTGATTTCGAAGTCATTGCAGACGCTGACTCCAGGTGGAAGAAAAGCCCTTTTCATCCTATTTTCTAGGCTTGGGAAGCCGGCTAGAAACCAAACTCCTTGAGCAAACGGGAAGCCTTAGCGCGGCGCCTGCGAGGAGAGGGGTCTGGGTTTGGCACAGTGCTGCTGAGCACAGATTACACTTCTTTAATAATCATAATGATTACAATGACTAAAGGCCTCCAAAAGCTCTCCAAGGGCCACTTCGGTGGCAGTGTTGCTCCCTGGATGGACGCTGGGGCCCCTCCCAGATTCTGACCTCAGCCCTGGCAGCCCAGGGCGAGGTCCCCTGGGATCAGCTGCGGTCCCTGCACCCGGGGCGGAGCCACGAGTGCTCCTCCCCGCCTTCGCCGACCCCCCATCCCAAGTCTAGGGAATTCCCCGTGCACCAGGGCTCGAGTTTCCTGCCGGGACCCGAGGCTTGTGCAGATAAAAGGAGCGCGGAGATGCACGGTGCCCGCAGCCTCCACCAGAGCCTTCTCCGCCTCACCCCGCTCCGCGTCCACGATGCGCCTCGTGCCCCACTGTGCCTCCCGCACCCCTGGCGTCCTGTGCGCGCTACTCGCGCTGCTGCTGCTGCTGCCGCCGGAGCCCCAAGTGCACGGTGAGGGCACGGGAACTCCAAGGGTGGGGAGGGCCCCATTATCTGGGCATGCAGAGGGGACCATTGTGTCCTGCGCCCCAGGAGGGGCTCCCCATTCTCTGCCCTCTGCTCCCTGACCCCAGACTCTCCCATAACGGCGGTGTCTCTCCCGCAGCCGGTCCCGTCGCCACGGTGCTGAGGGAACTCCGCTGCGTCTGTCTGAGCACCACGCCTGGCATCCACCCCAAAACGATCGCCAACCTGCAAGTGACTGTCTCAGGCCCGAAGTGTCCCAGGGTGGAAGTGGTGTAAGTGTCCTCCGCGGGGACCCCCGGAGTTCGGGGGAGGGAGTAATCTTTCCCCGTGCTGGAGCCCGGCTCACAGGTTCATCCTTTTCCCTCCGCAGAGCCTCCTTGAAGAACGGGAAACAAGTCTGTCTGGACCCAGAAGCCCCTTTGATCAAAAAAGTTATCCAGAAAATGCTGGACAGGTACTTGGCCTTGTGATCTTTTCCGTTTCCTCTCTTCTCTGGGAACAGAGACTGAACAAAGCCCTTACTCCCTAGGGTTTGGGTACCAAGTTCCAGACCAGGCTAAGGTTACAGAGGTTGCCAAGGAGAAGGGGTAGTGGATATGGAGCGTCCTGGGCAACCTTTCTCACTGGTGCTACACTGTTGCCAGCGCCGTAGGGCAAAGCTTGTTACAGTGGCAGATACATTTTGTCTGTGCTTTCCTTTTACTTTTTGTTTTTGCTTGTACCAAACCTCTTCAGCACTGTGTTTAGAAAATGGCTGGAGTAGACCAGGGTGTGGAAATTCGGTTAAACTGACATAATTATTTTCTCAACAGTGGAAACAAGCAAAACTGATCAGGAGGAAGGACCGAGGGCCGTGCTTTGGAAAGTTTGCCCAGTCTTCAAAGAGCAGGAGCCCTCTTTTTCTGTGGAGGCTCTGGATCTGATAAAGAAAGAAGAGTTGATTTTTTTCCCTAGCATTTTACTATGTGGATTCCCTGCTCTGAAGAAAATGGGGAAATGCTGTTTGCTCCTGAGTTTCTCCTTAGTTTTTGAAGTGTTTATTATAATATTTCCTGCTGTTTGCTGCTACTTGGCAATTAATCATTGGGTGTTAATCAGTATTGTATTTCTAGTATATAGTCCTTGTAGTGTTAGTGAAAGGTTGAGGATTTGATGGGTGAATTATGTTTTGTTAGAATGCTGCTGAGAGAGAGACATTCTTATCCTCATTCTTCTCATGAAACAGGAAATATTTTAGTGTTGTTTCTTGGATAACATGTTACAGAATTCCTTTCTCTTGGCCTGGTATGCTCTTTAAGTAACCTTATACTTATTAGAAAGTTGGGTATGTCATACAGTAACCTATGTAGGATATATTATTCCTTATTTAGGATCTGTAAATAAGGAATAATATATTCTCATCCTATAACTTTAGACATTTGATGTCTTCTTAGTATGGCATAATGTCATGATACTCATTAAAATTTGATTTTGTATGCTATTTATTAACTATTTTATTAGGTTATTATAATTTAGACCACTAAATATATGTTTTGCATAGATGAAGAAGATAAAAAGAGGTAAATTCCTGACTTGTAGTTCCTGTAGAAATGACTCTTTATGTTTTTTAAATAACAAATTTAACAATGATAGGTGCTCTTAAAGTTTTGAATGCACATCTGATACATTTAGTCATCATTTAGTCTTCTAAAAATACACAGCATTTCTAAGACTTTGATGCCTATAACTTAAAGATTTTGACCATTTTGTTATATGTTAATGTATCCACTATATTAAAATGGCACTTTAAAAAATATGCACATCAGGGCCAGGGATTTAGCTCAGTGGCCCTGCCACCTGCCTCGCAAGCACAAGGTCCTGAGTTTGATCCCCAGTACCAAAAAAAAACTGCACTTCACTGGCTTATAATAATTATTTGTGTTTTTGGAGAAAAAAAATAAAAGATTCCTAAACTTTACTTGTGTTGTTTCATCTTTCTTATGCTATAAGAATGGATTTTATTTATCATTCATTCTACATCATTTTAAACACTTCACTCCTCTGCTCTGTGGTTGTAGAGGAGCCCACTTCCCCATGCCATTGCAGCCCTCAGCCTTGCTTCATGCACCTCCCCTTCCAGTTCCCTCCACAGTGTCAGTAGCCCTGGGGTCTTCAGGAAACACAGAGAAGACTCCTCTCTCTTTAATCCTCACTACTCCTGATTGGGGTGGGTGTTGAGGGCTGAGTCTTCAGCCTGGTTCACTGGGAGATGGTGGATTCTGGAACTGGGGCCTGAGGAGGAGGGCTTAGGTTGTCAGAGTCAGGCCCTGGAAGGGGATCTTGAGACCCCAGGCTCTTGCCCTCCTCTTCCTCTTCCTCACTACTGGCCTCCTCCACCCTGCATTCTGGTATGAATGTATTGTGCCCTAATCAACAGGGCCCACACTGGTCATGGATTGACCAGGACTCTCAGCCAAAATAAACCTCTTCTTTTTTTAAGCTGATCATCTCTAGTCTTTGTTTTAGGAGCACAAACTGAGTATCACACATCTCATTTCATAAGCATGGAGAGCAAGGCTCATTCTCAGCTCACTGCGGATCACTTTGAAGGCACATCTGTCTCACACTCCTGAAGACAGGCATTTATTCACAGCCAGGCAAGTGCTTTCCTGGGCCTGTGCTTTTGCATTTGCTATAGCTCTGCCTGGAAGGAACTGGCCCCATTTCTGTGTATAGGAAGAAAATGACATTCATCTTTTAGAACTCACCTCAGGAGACGTCTCTTCCTGGAGTTGCCTTAGCCCTCCCAACAGAAAGCCTGCCTTCCATTTTGATGTTTCCACAGCATCTTCCAGATATCCAAATTATAACCCATAGTGCATGCTGTCATTAGTTTCTAGGTTTTCCCACCTGTCCAGTAAGAACTCTCCCAGAGCATCAACCGTATTTCATCCAACTCTACATCTCCAATGTGTGGCTCAAAATGACTGAGAATTCGTAAGTTATCCTGACCCAGGTTGTGAGATAGCTTCCTAAAATCGGTGACCTGCACCTTTCCTCCTTGTCAGTGGGTAATCCAGTGAAGACTTTATCTCATGCAGTCCCCCCAACCTGTAACACCTACCCTCACTTTCACTCAGCTATCTCCTATCCTTCCTCTCCTGTCCTGAGCCAACCTCTCTGACTCTTCTTCCTGCCGGGTTACAGCTCATTTTTTATCCTTTAATAGCATTTTGTATTTTTTCTTTGTTACATTTTCTTGCAAGATTACTAGAGTTTATAGTCTATCCACAATGATCATTTGTTTAATGTCGATTTATTCCAACTTCACTGTAATCCACAGGCAGGCAAGGACAATACTTACTATCTTCATCTCAGTTGCTCAGACTGTGCCTAGCATGCAGGAGACATTTAAATTCATGAGTGAGCTAGGCTAAACAAGCCCCAAGGCTCTCTCATATTCAGCATTTCACATAAGTAGTCCATTCTTAGAAAAAGGAAGGAAGAAGGCTAATCTCATTAGCATATATATAAAATGTAGTAATTGGGTTAATGTATTATATGTTATATTAGTATATATTGGCATACAGTAGCATGCTAATATATTATTAGCATATTTTTGTCTAATTTAGGTTTTTCTGTATCTTATGATCTCCTTCACATTTAAAATATCAGTTAGGTTAATATATTTACTATTATTATATGTTGATATGTATACATACAACAGGAAGAGACAAAGATACAAATACATGGAAAAAACTAGAGTAGTGTCAAGGATATGGGTTTACTGACAAGTTTTTCAGCAATACAAAAAAGTTCAAAATATTTCTAAAGTTAAAAAAACATTAAACATGTATGACCTCTCTTTGCTCTCTCAAAAAGTACCCTTTTTGACTTTATGAATTATAGAAAGCACTAAAAAGCAAACAAAATTACCATAAATGTTGCATACAAAATTTCACTGTTTTAAATGATTACTGATGTGTTTTGTCAGTTCCAAAATACTTATTGACCAGCTCCCAATGATACTAATAAGGGAAAGCATATTAAATGCCATTTAGATAGCAAAGTAAAAGTTTTGTCAACAAATAAGCACTACTGGTTACTTCCTGGTTTATCATCATTCATGATCTTTGTTTTTTCTGAAGCAAACTTAGAAGTCTAGTTTGTTCATAGACCATAGAATCAGGCCTTCTTTGTAATATTCTTGCAGTTCTAGTGGCCATGCCCATTTTAGAATTGGTCATTATATAAAGAAAAAAATATGTGACAGTGTATTTCCAAAGTGCAACTCATCAATGAACCTCAGTGGCAATGACTGCTCACCATTTCTTTCATTGCTCATCAACCTTCCTACTAATGCAAAGTGGATGTATCTGGGGACATTTACCTAATGTATACACATTTACTTAATGTATATTCTAGACATATGTCTAATAGTTTGCTCAGACTAATCCGTAAGTGCTATTTCACTCTCCTATCCACCTGAAACTCTCTCTCATATATGAAATCACTTGGAATTAAATAAGTGGTCAGAAAATATCCACTTTATGTAATTAGTAAAACAGACAATTTCTAGTGTACAATGGTCTTCATTCATTCCACCAGACTTTCCTGCTTATTTTGGGGTGTGACACACTAATCCTTCCATTCCTGAAGGTATGACAAGATCTATGGCAAAACATGACTAGTGGCTTTGTTTTTCTGTCATAATTTTCGTTCTTGCATAAGGGGAAGAATTGCTGTGGGTGACTCTCACGTATATAACTGCAAAAGTCCTTCCTGATTGCCACAAAGTGAGGAATTTACTAGACAGATCAGGTACCTAGGGATTGCTTGTTACCTCCATGACTAAATGGAGGAAGAGGAGAGTGTACTTTAATTCTGATTTTGGCTGAGAGCTCACGTTCACAAAATTAATATTATATTCCCCCAAAACACTGTTAATACTTCAAATATGTGGGAAGAGATAATGACTTAGGAAGACCTATGGTTTAGATCTAAAATTTTGTTTCTGCAGACTCTAGAGTCCAGTTTCTTGAATAAAGAGGACACCCCACTCCCACTCTTGCCCTCAAAAATACCTTCAATGTTTGTGTTTGCATTGCTACATAAATTTTTTATTTCTGTTTCTGATCCACCTCCGTGGTTGGACAAAGAGAAAAATGATTGTATTCCAGGAAGAGGCCAGGTATTCTTGTGCTTTGCAGTGCAGTAGAGTCAGACTTGTTGCCTTTCATATCCAGTTCTGAGTATTTCTAGCATGAGACCTTGACAATTTACTTAACATCTCCCTTCCTCAGTTCTCTCATGTAAACCTGGTAGAATAATATCTATCTCACTGCACTAAGGGCTATACTGGAACAAAGCAGGTGGTCCATACCTACATTCCTAAGTAGATACCCTTTCCCAAGGATATTTCCCTTCCCAAGTCTCTTAATTCAAATTCCCCTTTGCAGTAAGAAAATTGAGGCCTGGATACTTTAGGCATCCTTAGTTTTTTCAAATCTGTTCATATTTTCTCTACTTATGTATGAATGATTTTTAGTGCTCCTAAAAATTGATTTCTGAGTCTTATTTAAAGGGCTTCTAAAGTATATACACTCTAGCAGTTCTCCATACTAATAAATGTCTGGAAGCTAATAGCCACCACGTTGAGCACCTCTTATAATTGTAAAGGCCAAGGGTAACTTGTACTAATCTCATGATGTCTCAATAAATTTAATATTAAAATATTTATACAAAATTTTCTTTTCTTGATACACACATTTTTTTGGCAGCCTCTGTATATATTCCCTATTTATTTCCTATCAATTTCCTACACATTTTTATCAAAATGCATGGCCATCAATCAAATACAAACTTATTGACATTTACTGACACTCTCATACAAGACCCTATGCAGGACCCTTATGATGTGGAGATTATGATGATAAGGAGTTTTCGTTTTGAGTGAAGGTCTTTTCATAGCAAATATCCTCAGTCAGTCCATGAAACAAAGATTCTCTTGAAAGTAGAGAGGATGAGAGGAGAGGAAACGGGGAAGAGAAGAGGGGCAGGAAAGATGGTAGAGGGGAAGGGAGAGAAGAGGGAAGATCATGATTGTTGTGTCTTTTCTTCCTTTCTCCTTTTCTTATCTCCTTCTCCATCCTCGCCTTTCTGTTTATTGCTGAGAATAGACACCACTTAGAGGAGGAGGAGGATCTGGATGGGCCTGAGGGACACTCTACAGCCAGCAGCAGGTGACCCACCATGAAGGAGACCTTTGAGTCTTTTTAGGCTGACTACACTCTCGCAAGTGAGTGTAGGGCAGAGAAAGACAGCAGATGAAACTCTTATTCGCACACAGAATAGTCAGAAATAATTAGCTATTGTTTAAGCCACCAAGTTCGGGGTTGACTTGTCACACAGTAAAAGAAGGTCACCATTGAGCAGCAATTTATTGTATACACAGATTCTCAAAAAACATTGCATTAGAATTTCCTCAAATGAGTGACTATGTAGTCATGCACTTGATATTCAGCAAATACTACTCAAATGCAAATTCTGAGACCTGCAAACTCCCAGTACTCCTATGTTACAGCACCCAGGAGGCTGTCTCCATCCCCTCACCCCCTATACAGCACAGCAAAACCTCAACCTGACTGCCAGTTCCTGAGTCTGGACAACTGTTGTCACCTCAGTTACACAGAAAACATCTGGTTTCAGGACTTAGGGAGGATCTTTTGTAGCCTACTGTTTTAATTTCTTGCCTGAGGAACTTTAACAGAACCAAAATGTTATTAACCCTAGGAATTCTGTACTAACTCTTCTTATGGCTGATTTGCACACAACAAATCTCTTTTATACTTGAAAGAAGGATTTGAGAGGCACCACTTAAAACTATTCTGTGGAAAATAGAGTTAATGTATGACTTAATTTTCATGGTCTTCCAATGTCTCTAAGTATTTTATTTAAAATAACAGATAAGTTCTAATTTAGTCTTAGAAAACTTGCTTGTTTCCTCAATGACTTTGCTATTCATAAGGAAATTGAAAGGAAAAAGATAAAATTACTTGCTACAGTTTTTTTTTAAATGCCAACAACAGGATTACAATGAAGATTCACAAAAGGCTGCCAAGTTATTTTAAAAAACTCCAGTACCCAGACACTTGCTTCTACTCCTAGCACTAATTTAAGTCATAATTTTGTATAAGCTGGTTGCTTTTAATAGAATAACTGATTTTAAAATCTTTTGCCTATTTTTGTACAGTTTATCACCATTTGTATTGTGGTTCTACTCATGGAAGAAAAATATGCAGATAAGAGAAATGGCACCAGTCTACATTCCCACCAACAATGGAGAAGGGTTCCTTTCCCCCAACACCCCGTCAGCATTTGTAATTGGTTGATTTCTTGATAGCAGCCATTCTTTCTGTGGTGAGGTGCAATCTCAGTGTCGTTTTCATCTGCATCTCTTGAATGACCAGTGATGTTGAACATTTTTTCATATATTTATTTGCTGTTTTTACTTCTTTGTCTGAGAAATGTCTGTTCATTTCGGTTGCCCACTTTTGAATTGGGTCTTTGAATTTGGGAGTCTTATTTTTTTCAGTTCTTTATATATTCTAGATAGTAGACCTTTGTCTGAGGTACAGCTGCTAAAAATTTCTTCCCACATTGTAGGTTGTCTCTTAGCTCTGTTGGTGGTTTCTCTTGCAGTGCAGAAGCTTTTTAATATGATGAGATCCCAGTTGTTGATTCTTTGTGCTAGCTCCTGTGCTACTGAAGATTTGTTCATAATGGATGCATATTGAGGCCATGCTTTTAAGTGAAATAAATAGGACACACATGTGTAAATACCAAATAGTTTCTCTAGTGTGAGAAACCAAAAGTGTAAATAAGGATGAAAATGATTAAAATGAATAATTGATCATTTGAAATAGGAAAAGGTCCAAGGGTTTGAGGGTGGTACTAGGGGAGGGGGAAAAGGAAGAAGGGAAAGGAAAAATTATGAGAAAGAAAAAAAATGAAATCAAAGTCTGTGTAAATAGGGAAGGGTGGAGGGGGTGAAGGGTGCACAGGGAATGGGAGAAAAAATAAGAACTAGGATACATCATGTACAGGTACAAACAACCAATGATAAATGTAAATGCACTATATACCTAAAATGTATCAATAAATATATAAATTAAAAAAGAGAGAAATAGCAATTAACAGCAGTAGTGACATTAATTATAGTAGTTATTTATATTCTAAAGTGTTATTTATATTCCATTGTTTTGGGCAATTGCTTCAGGTCTTGCTTTTAAAGAAGAAATTGAATAAGTCACATGGGAGTTTTATAATGTGTAGCACACAATAGATGCTTAATCAATATTTCTTGAATAAATACAAAGTAGCAAAAAGTTCTTTTATCTCAAATGCTGACTAATGGGCTTGTGAAATTTTAACAATAAGTTTGTTACTACTTCCTCATGAAACTTCTGATGATGTGTTTTTGTGACAAGATACTTTTTTAAGACTGACTTAATACAATTGTGCTACACTTCTACTTTTTTCCTGGTACCAACCAACTCAAATAGTATCATCATCTCAGAAAAGGTTCCATACAATTACTGTACTAAGTGCAGTAACTAGGAGACAAGTTTGAATAGTGTTAAATACGGAGAAAAAAAGTGCAGTGGACCTAAAAATATCACCAGAAATTGGTTTTGGAGGGTCATAGTGGACAAAAAAAGAGTCTATTAATAATGTTAAAAACATGTATAGTTTATTCACATTTTTGAAAGATAATTGTGAGCTGTAGAATGACCCTTATAGAATTTGTATAAAAAACCTATGTCTATCTCCATACATGATATACGAACATATCTCTGTGTAGTATGTGCATCTCTTTGTCTACATATACGTGGATGTATATAAATGCAGATAGAATAGAAAACATATGCTAATGGTTGCTGGTGGGTATCTCTGAAGGACAGTAATGTGGAATAATTGTGAAAGGATTGTGCACATTTGATTTCACAGGTACCTTCTGTATATGAATCTTCTTTAACAGATTATATCGTCTATCTTTGTTAGAGTGAAAACAAAAGAAAAAATGTTAGGTCTTGCTTTTTGGGTACAATGAGATGGTAGAAACAAATAGCTTATTTTATAATACAAAGCGGAATGAATTTGCTTCTGCTTTCTGGATGAAATTATAAAAGACAAATCATTTGGAGGACAGTTGCCCATAAGCTAATAATCAAAGCGAGTGTTTGATGATAAGTGGCTCATAGTTTACCCATATTCTCCCAAAAGACCCTGACATTCATCACAACTAGGGCAGGGACATCTGCTTTCTCTGCAATCTGGAAAGGAAAAGTAACTCTCTTTTTCAAAGGCCACATGCTTATGTCTTCAGGTGCTGAATGCAGTATAGAAGAAGCATGGCATATTGTTTCCTGGCCACACAAAATACATGCAGCATTTCAGTCTAACCTCATAAGTAGGGTGCTTACCCATGCATAAAGGAGATGGTGTTGAGAAAGAGAGATTAGGAGTGGGAAATGATGCATTGAATTTAACTAATTTAGCAGGAATTCTGACTTGCCTGGCATTTATCTGGGTTGGGCACAACTTGACCATGCTTGTATGGGTATATCACCACATACCATACCCTATCTTCCCCTGCCAGTCTCTTCTGCTTCATTGGCTACAGGACAGTGGGATCGAAGCCATCTGAAAGGCATATAAAGCCAATTGTTGCAGACCTGTAGGCAGTATCTCACCCTCTGGCTGAGGGGTCCTGGCTCAGAAACAGCTCCAGCTCAGTCTTTTCCACCATGAGTCTCAGATTCAACGCTACCTCCTGCTCTAGCCCCAGCCTGCATCTTGCCTTAGGGGGATTGCTGCTCCTGTCATTGCTCCTGACTGTGCTGGTTCCCTCTACCAATGGACAAGGTAAGACAAATTTAGGGAAAAACAAGGGTAGAGGCTTTGCTTCCCTGCAACTGTGGTGGTGGTGGGGGCGGTGTTGACTGGGGCTGGAGAATGTTATTACCCTGTGAACTCTAAGTGGTGGTGGCATGTGTTCTGGGCAATCTGCTAGGCATGATACTAAAAGTTTACAGGTCATATTAACATGGCCTCCTGGGAGAGGTGCAATTACCCTCCATTTACAAATAAAAAATAAACTGAGGAAAATAACCATGACCACTAACACAATCACATGTTCTACCATAGCTGCAAGCATAGAGTCGTTTGTTGAACTGCGCTGCCTATGTGTGAAGACGGTCTCTGGAATCCATCCCAGCAAGATCTCCACTTTGGAGATGATTAAGGCAGGATCCCATTGTTCCAAAGTCCAAGTGATGTAAGTTCCTGCTTCTGTACCATTTGGGATGCCCTCCACCTGTGCCATCTTCTCCAGCCTCTTGGGTCTGTTCTGCTTCCCAGGCTAGGATACTCACAGATGATTCTGTGCTCTCTTTCAGAGCCACACTGAAAGAGGGCCAGAAAGTCTGTCTGAACCCAGATGCTCCAGGAGTCAAGAAAATGATACAGAAAACATTGGAAGGTCAGGAATCAGCTGCTTAATTTGCTACTTCTTGCCAGAATTTTTCTACCTGCCTGGAAGGGCAGGATTTTGAAGTCTTAAATTTCTATAGTTATTCTTTTATCCAGGACACCTGTTCTTACTGTATGACAATTGGGATAAATTTTATTCTGTTTCAAAAATCACATTGTATTCTGAGAAGGCACGTTAGGGATGAGAGAAGATGGAAATAAGCAAGCCCAGTAATAATGCATAAGTTATGGTTATGGTTTATTCTCTAATTCTTGCTTAAACACTGTTCTGTGCTTTCCATTTCCATTTTTTTTTTTTTTTGAGACAGGGTCTTGTTCTGTAGTCCAGTTTGGCTAGGAAATTGTGGCAATATTCCTGCCTCAGCCTTCTGAGTGCTGAGATTACAGGTGTGTGCCACCATGACCAGCTATATTTCTTTGTTGGAACATTTATTTCCAATCCCATTTGTGTTAATTTTTCTTTCTCAGTTGTTAGGCTAGATGAGCTCATGACGATTAATAGATGTCATGACAGCCAGTAATATCAAGCACCCCGAAAAGCCAAGCATAGAATGTACCTCATTTTTTTATACTTTGATATAGAGTTTTCACTGTCTTAGCCATAGAGTTTCTGATTTCAAACTTTCCTCTGAAAAGTGTTTCTAATGTTTATGTTAGGCTTCAGACCCTAAAACTAATAGTTGTAGGATGTAAGTCTGTAAGCAGTAGTGACTTAAAGTGAATTTATATTTTACACTAGTAGAGCAAAAAGTGCATGATAAAAAAGCATTAATGTACTCTACAAAGAAACCCCAGCACTTTCTGCAGTGATAACTAAGGAAAATGGCTGATTTTATTTAATGTTAATTGTATTCTTGCATATTCATATATATTTTCATTTAATTAATATCTGCACAATTATAATTTCAGTATTAGAATTGAACTGGCAAATAAGTATAACAGGGAAACATTACTAGGCTACTACTAATTTTTTAATCCACAAAACCTTCATTCATTTGTTAACCCTTAAAATCAATACTTTCATTATTCTTACAAAGAGGTTAACATAACATCAGATTTTTCTATTGATATATTATCTTATATTATCAATTGAAATAGACTTTGGGGAAAGTTTTAACTATCTTTTGTTTATTTTCTTGTTCTGCTTTTTGTTTTTTATGCTTTGGTATTTCACACTATTGCCAATAAAAGCCACTAAGTTGATGCTGTGTGACATTTTAAATGTAATATATTACACAAAAATTATGAATCACTTTAAAAATACCATGGAAAATTAAGTGTTTTGCATGTGTACATTAAGTAATCCTTACAAGATAGCTATAATCTGGTTAAAAGCCTGTCCTCTGGAGCCAGAATAAGTAGGGAACCTTGCTCCACCACTTGTTAGCTGTTTAACTTTGGTCAGGTTGCATAATCTCTCTACAGTTTAGTTTCTTCCTCTCTAAAGTGGGGATCATCTATTGTTCATCTCATGGAATTGATGCAGGAATTAAAAGAATTAGCAAACTCAAAGTGTTTGAAATAGTGCACATCATAAAATAACCCACATATAAGGTTAGTGATTGTGTATTATTAAATACTATCAGAATCTCCAGGATCACAGAGAAAAATCTAAAGTTCAAGAGATTAAGAAATTTGCCCTGGGGTGAGAGTGCAGATCCTGGTAAAGAGTTTGCCTAACATATGGGGACCTGGGTTTGATCCCCAGTACCACAAGGAAAAGAAAGGAAAGAGGGGAGGGAGGGAGGGAGGAAGGAAGAAAGGGAAAGACGGGAGAAGAAGAAGAGGAGGAGCAGGGAGAAACTTGCCCCAAGATCAGATAATTAGGTGATCCAGGAATTTGAAATTGTGTTCTTAATCACTACACAGCCCCTTTCCTTGATTCTTCCTCATCTAATGAAATTACATTACATAGTGTTATTAGCACATCAAATAGTACTTCACATGTACATACATACATACATACATACGTACACATACAGCATAGCATACCATAGTAAACAGACTGTACTGGTCAGAGGACAAGAAGAAAGTTCACCTTCTCCAAACTCTCCAGACTTTGGAGACCTTTACACACTCAGCATGCAGTTCACAAACTGTAGTATTAAAGACTTCTTTTTACCATCTCCTCACCATCATTGTCCTAATGCCTTAAAATCTTTTGTCTAAAAAATAAATGCATTTAAGTAATGGATAACAAACGCTATATACAAAACATGCAATAAAGCAGCAAATGGGGATTGCAGATATTTTCATTAGCTTGCCTTCAACATTTAAAAATAACTCAGGCATTGAACAACACTGAGATTCCATCTTACCCCAGAAAGAATGGCCACCATCAAGAAATCAAGTAATAACAAATACTGGTGAGGCTGTAGTGGAAAGGGAACCCTTCTACAGTGTTGGTGGGCATGTAAACAAGTACAACTACTATGGAAATCAATACGAAGACTCCTCAAAAAACAAAAACTAGAAACTCCATTTGGCCCAGCTATTTTTCTTCTAGGTATCTTCCTGAAAGAGTTAAATACATCATATTACAGTCATTCATGCATACCCAGGTTTATAGCAGCACAATTCATAATAGCTACATCTTGGAAGTGGCTTATATGTCCATCAGCATATAAGCCACTGGACAGATAAAGACAATGTGGTATTTACACACAATGGAGAACTACTGTGCCATAAAGGAAGATAAACTTGAGTCATTTGTAGAAAATGGATGCACCTTGGGACGATAATGTTAAGTGAAATAAATCAGAAATATAAGTTTAAATATCATGATTTCTCTTATATGAGAAACTCAAAATATAAATAGAGCAAAATAAAAGACAGATAATAGGAAATAAGGACAGAGATCTTTTGCAAATGGGAAGAGGACCAAGAGATGGAGGGTGGGGAGGGAGAGGAAGAGAAGAGGATGGAAAAAGCATAGAGACGTGTTTTGTACATGTGACAACTCCCCACAAGGAAAGTGATCTTTATGCATTACAGACATGTGCTAATAAAAAATAAAAAATGAACAAACAAAAGAAAAAAAAATAACCTCAGGCATCAAGTCCTATCTCTAGTGGTTTCTCCTGAAAGCCAGCAGGGCCAGTGCTTGCATGTGCTGCCCCTCCTGAGGCACAGGTGTATGTCACCACAGTGTGAATCCTCTTGTTTGAATGCAGAGGAAGCTGACCTGACAGCCACTCAGTATTGCATGGGTCCAGTCACTCATCAAGCACTGAAATTCTGAGGTGAGGCTGCATGAATCCAGTGTGTCGCTGGTCTGGAGTCAAAAGCTGGCCTCATATTCACTCCCTCTGATGTTAACCGAGAGGGACCTCGTGTTTCCATTCCCTAAACACGTAGTAGCTGCATCGTGGTTTGCAGCTGCTGCTGTATTGGATGCTGAATGCTAGAGTTGCTCTTGATATTACTATCGGGGCAGAGGTGAGACTGGCAAGTGGACAGGTCATTATGACCATAGGTGGCTGGGTTAGCCCAGAGATCTGCTCCAATTGCCCTGAAGAGCGGACACGAGAACAAGCCAAGACCTTAACCTTGTCGGTCTTCACAGTCATAGCAGCTCTGTGCCTACCTGTGACCTGACTGGGGATAGAGATAGGACCGCTAACCTCATCAGCTTCCTGTTTCAAACACTTTTAAAGAAGCCAGGTAGGGAGAGAAGGGGATTAAAAAAGAATGAAGATGCGTTATGTCCACAGACCAACTCCCCACCATGCATGTAATCATTATGTGCTGCAAACATGGCTAAAAAAGCAAAAATAAATACGTGGGTGTATGAGTGTGATGTAGGTAGGTGTTTATGTGTGCACGTGTGTCCCACCTGTGATTTACCAAAAAGGTGGGGGTGATGCAAGCTAGAATGAGGGAACACAGCAATGGAAGCAGGAGTCAGGGTGGCCCTTCTGGGGCTGAAACATTTCGCTAAATCGGCACTGTGGAATGGACCCAGCCAGGAGAAAGGCAGTGGCGAGGCCTCGGAGAGAGAGCGCCGCCGGGCAATGCATCACAGCGCTGCTCCTGTGAGGTCTGTGCCCTGAGCCTGGGTCCCAGTGAGTCCTGCAGGGGACTTCTGGTGCCCCCTGCTCACCCACGGGCAGAGCCCTAGCTTCTGGGTGCGGGTGCGCCCAGCCCTAAGCCACGGAAGACAGTCGACGCCGACCAGGCCTGCCCTGGAGGACTCTGTGCAGCCTCTGCCTACCCTGCCCGTGTCTTCCCTCACTCAGTGCTCGATGCTGGGTGCTTGGTGCTCGGTGTTCAGTGTCCGAGCCTGGGGGCTGCAGGCCCTATAAGCCCTGGCGAGCAGGGAGACGCTGGCCCTGGACGCACTCACTGGGCAGCGGCCCTCGCTTCCGGTAATGCACGATGGCTGTGGGCCCTGTCTGCCCCACGAGAAACAGGAACTTGTGGCTGCAGGCCCAGCCCAAGCTGCAGGCAGTGGACACAATGCCAAGGCTCCGGGTCCCAGCCAAAGCCGCGAGAGCCACTAGGAAGCCAGGACAGCTACCCGCGGGAGGGAGCGGTGTGCACAGGACGCGCTGTGGACTGGGCGCGGTGTGGACGAGGCGCAGTGTGCACAGGACACACATATCCTCTGACTCCGCCTGCAGCCACGGCCCTGTGCCCCCGTAAGTGGCACGGTTAGAGGTCACACACACACATACGCGCTCCTCCCTTCCAAGGTCCTGGGGTCCTGGCTTCGCGGGTACAAAGGCGGCGACTGGTCGGGTGAGCTGAGCCACTGCCAACACGAGGTCTTGCGGAAGGGGTGTGGATCCCGCCACTCGTGGGGCCGCCACACCGAGCTTGCCTCAGACCGCTGGAACCGCGTCACACTCAGGCTCCTTCCCCGTCGTACTCTCCCAACCCCTGGCTGCAGCGATCTCTGCCTTGCCCAGGTAGGGAGTCGCCCCCAGCCCTGCACTGAAAGTCACCTGGGAGCCAGGCCCCTGCCCTGCTGCAGGTGGGGTTTGCACTTTCCATGAAGCTGCATAACAGCTTCCTGGTGCCTGTGCCCTTCCGGTCTTAAGCAAATAAAATGAACCGAGCTGTCCAAGTATTCTTCATTACAGAGCAATAAACAGTGCTTCTACATCATATAGGAAAACGACACTGTAATTTTAAACAGAAAGTATTTTGTGAGAAGGTTTGGTTGAAGGATGGGGTTTGCTGGTGTTGTGCCTTGGTGGATACAAGTTTGCACGCTCACATGACTGCATTACTTCACGGCTAATGATTTATTTTTAATGTTGCAATGAACTTCATCGACAAATAACAGCCCTTCAGTGTTATAAGGCTGCTTTACAAAATAATAAGTAAATAAATCAGACTATAATTTTATTCCCCTAAGCTTCATTCTCTACTACAGTCAGAAAATTAATAAAAATAAAACTGAGGCTGGGGTGTAGCTCAAGGAAGAGCATTTGCCTGGCATAATGGAGGCCCTGGACTCCATCTTCAGCTCTAAAAAAAAAAAAAAAAAAAGCCTAGAATGAGTACTTAATGCTCAAATATGAATTCTTTAAGGGAATTGTACTGAAAAGTATTACTCTTTAATTGAGTCTTTGAAAACGTTAATATTTCATCAAAAATGAAATCTTAGACATAGCTGTTGGACCTACTTCCTGCCTGCAGGGGATCTGCCATTGGGCACCCTACTGGACTTGCTTTTGTCACCTTGTACACTGTTAGCGTCACTCTATGCAGGCAGATGTCTTGAATAGATTGTTTCACTCAGCATTCTCTGGTTCTGGGGAACTTCTTTGCAATTTTCTACTTTCCAATGTGTTCCCCAACATCAGAGGTGTTACTGCTGTAGGTGGGTTGGGCCAGGGAAGCCAGGAGAAGTGTGAGGTGGCTTTTTCATTCAGACTTTGGGAAGAAAGGACTGGCTTGCAGTGTGGGTGCATCAGTTACCTGTTGCTTCCATAACAAATTACCATAGGCTGTGGCTGAACTGTGAAGCCAAAAGGAGTCTTAATGGGCAGAACTCCAGGTGTCCTGAAACCCATGTTTCTCCTGAAGGCTTGGGGGAGAATCCATTTCCTTTCCTGTCTCAGCCTCCAGAAGCCATCTACATTACTTTTCTGGTGACCTATTCCT